AACTCATAAAAATTGTTCCCTTACTTTGGAAATTAAGTTTTCTGCTACAGAATAGACATAATGTTCAACACGGTGAACAGGTTCATGACTTAAATAGAGCGTTTTTCTCTCTCTCTCTCTCTCACACACACACACACACACATCATGTAGGTATGATAAAAAAATCAGAATTACAAATAAAATACTGATTTCAAACTGCATTTAAAGATGTAGTTAAGGCAAAATTATAAGTTAATGAGATGTATGTGTCTGATAGAGGGAAAGTTCATTAATTCATAATCACTTGCCATAAATTATATGTACAATTATTTTATGGACATATATACAGCTGATCCAGTCTAACGATCACCAATGACCTGAATCAAATAATATGGCAGAATTAAGGATGTGAAAAATTGTAGAAATACGCTAACTTTTAGTTAAATATGTTTTGACTACCATAAAATTTACATAAATGTTAAAAGCACAGTTCAAACTGAATTACAATTTTTCAGGAGGTTTGCTTGCATGCCATATTAAAATATCCCTGAGGAAACACAATTCTTAAAACCACTAAGAAAAAAGTTCTTGTAATAGGAAAATGATTTATTTACCTGGATCTTCTATAGTTAAGTTCTTTATCAACCATTGAACAATGTCTGAACCTAGAAAAAGAAAAAAGAAAAAAACAGATGTGAACATTTTGTTTATACATATTAACTTCAAGAAGTTTGCACCTTTGGTGCTCATATTAGAAGGAACTTTTTCTAATTGTTACAATGACAGGTTAAGGATCTACCCCAGATGGAATGTTGAAAACACACAGTATGAATACTTAGTTGTCCTTCAACAAACCAAGGTGTAAATTAGCAAATTATTAAATATGAAATATTTAAATGTAAATAAAATTTGCTATACTAGTAGAAAGTGATTTGTTTACTAAATAAGTGTTTATTAAGCATCTACTATATTTCAGGTACAAGTCTTAGCACAGCATAACCAGTACTTTATAAGACGGTTCCTGTCTCATTTCTGGTTATACCCACCTCATCCTTGTATCTTCTCTCAAGCCAAACCAAATTTGCTTCTGGTTTTCGAACCCTCCTATGTATTTCAAGCCTCTGTGTCTCCACAGCAGTATTCTCCCTGACTGAAATATCTTGCCACTGTTTTTAAGACACTCAAGTTTCCCTGACATGACAGAACTTGCCTTGTCCCTTCCCCTTGTCCACTGAGTTTACAGAACTGTCCACCAATCCTCATTGGAACCCATGTAGTCTTTTACTGTTGTGTTGATCACACCATTGCCCCAGCTGTTTATCTGATGAGTGTCCCAAAGTAAGAACCTTGAGGCAGGGTGTCATATTCATCTTTGATTATTTGGAGCATAGTAAGTGCTTAACAATGTGTGATGAATACAAAGTATGAATGAATATGTTTCTACTGCACACAGAAGAGACGAGAGGGTCTGCAGAAAACATACTGTTTGAGCTAGATTTTGAAGGATATATTTTTATCTATGAATAAGAGAGAAACTGAGTTGCTGGAGGGGCCTATGTAAAAATTAAAAGGTGGAAAAACAGTCAACAGAAATAACTTACTGCACACTGTCTATATGTAAGTACTGGGAATAATAGAAATTTGAAAGTAATAATGGAGTGCACAGTGTATTCAGCAGGTCTTGAATTCTAGGCTAAATAATTAAATTTTTTTCCCATAAGGAAAGCAGAGAAAGAGACATGCAATATTTTTGAGCAGAAGAATGACATTATCAAAGTAAGTTTAAGGAATATGACTGGCAATATATATGAAATGCCTTGTAGTCAAAAAGAAGGCAAGACAGTCGACATGTCTACTAGTTGCAATCCAAGAAGGAAGGGAAAAGGTCTTAGTTCAGTGACAAATGAACTTCTTAGAAATTACAGACTTGTTTCAGGACTTTATGACTAATTAGGTATAAAGGTTACAAGTCGGAGAGATTAAAAAAGAAGTCAAGGTTTCTAGCCCAGAAGTGTGGATGAATAGAATGATGAAAATAAGAGCAGAAATGGGAGATTTAGCAACTGATTTACTTGAGACACTCATTTGTATTTAAAATTGGTTTTCTGCATAACTCTTTTCTACATAAAATAGGAAAAATATGTATGTGAATTTTTTGCATACATCATAAACTGTGTTATGCCTGCAAGAATTGAATGAAACTTCAGGGTGAACCAAGATTCCATTTCAGCCTCTCCTGGACGCTGGCTAGAGCTGTCTACCCACCTCAGAGATTTGGCAAATTAATTACATTAACATTGGCAAAGTAATTCTAGCTGCTTGAATTAAATCAGTTCAAAATCAATTTAAGAATAAATTTGATTACTGAACTTGACAATAAAGTCCCAAAAGTTATGAGAACATTCATACTCAATGCCAATTTCAGTATGCATGCATTTAAAAAATAACTCCAAGTACTGACTTGAACTTGCGTTCCTTTTACAGCGCCATTGATTTAAATCATTTGGGAAGACAGATTCATCCAGATCCTAAAGGAAGTTTTACTAAAACAGCTCAGAGTGTCGAAAGGAAAGGAGATCATTCTCCAGAAGGCAGTTGACCGCGTCCGGGTGTTGCGTTCTTCCTTATAGTCTAAGTTATCTTAAAGCACGATCTTCCCGTTGAAAAAGAAAAGGAGAACTCAGCTTTTCACATATGTATGTAGTGATCCTTGACCAATGTCGATTCCCAGATACACAAATCTTCTGCACAAGCCCCAGGCACTCTGCTCATTTTTCAGAGTTGAGCATCTATTTGTGGAACATATGTGAGCAGCCACTGGAAATTTTCCATTCTTTTGAAGACAGCCAAACATTCATTCCAGGACTATACATATTTTTTATTGTGAAAAATGACTTTAAAAATGCTCTCAAAGACTAAGTTTTTAAAAATATTCTGTTCTGTTATGCTTTCTTTCCTTTTCTTTTTTTTCTTTCTTTTTTTTTTTTTCTGAGCAGAAAGAAATATAAAGAAGCCTAATTTAAAAGTATGTTTAATTCAGAGAATAGGAAACTTTCTTTCTTAGCCTACTTTTGAGTATTTCTGTCACAAGTGTATTCTCAGTTCAGTGCTGAAGGAGTCAATTCAATTGGACTTGACCAACTGTTAGTGTCACTTAGCAGATGCTGCAGTGGTTTTCTTATTGTGTGATCACCTCAACATATTTATGGCTTTAGGTTGAAACATTATGGATTTTTAAATTGTTAAATTCATATCCAGACTCACCAGGTTAACCTATGCTGCATCTGTAAGAGTAAGACCTCACCTCCTTGAAGAGATAAGTAGAGAGAGAAAGGAGGAAAAAATCCACTATCTTACTGGAACCAGAAGACCGAAAGAGAAACGTGCTCCTATAGAGTCACCTTGAGAAGCACGACTCAAATGTAAAACGGAGCACTGCAGTCCAGAGAAGTGTAGTAGGAATGCCACCTTTACAGCAATTTCCCAGCTTTATATTAAATAAATAAATGGCTGGGTCTGCTAAAGCTTTTCACATATAATGTATATGTAGAATGTGGTAGCATTCTATTTATCTTGATTTTGGAGCCCTCAGAATAAGCTGTGGAATTTTTTGAAATCACACTTTGACTGTAGCCTATGGAAAGTTTAGCCCTGACCATACTCTTATTTTGAGTTCTTACAGGCAGGTGTCACTTTCAGAGTTGCAGAGCTTTGTACTCCCTCTGCTCAGCAGAAGCAGTAGAGGTTTTGATTATTGTCTAATCTTAGCAGTATATTATTTAAAATGAAAACAAGCAAAAACAAGTAGAATTCTTCCTCATCACACTGCTCATAGTTTTCCACCTGCTGTACTGTTTCTTCCTTCCATGATTTTGCTAATGCTATTTTATCTTCATCTCTTTTTCCTGTGGTGAATCCCAGCTGAGGCCACAAAGTTCCATTCAAACATTATCTACTTCAGGAAGCCTGTTCTGCCCACCCCACCCTATCTTACTAGGGAAAGTGTTTTTTATTTATGTTCTATTAACATCTTTATCATTCTTTTTACTTATCTATGGTTTTATCATCCTGTCTTTACTTTACTCTGTCTTCCTCTTTGCAGTATAAGTCCACTGAAGCCCAGGGGCATGTATTATTCAACTTTGGATCCCAAACAGCAGACCAGTGCCTGACATGTAAAAGATGACCAGTAAATGCCAACAAAAGATTGGATGAATAAATAGCAAGACTCCCCTCCCCATATTCTATTTTGAGAGAGTTTAAAAAGAAAGGTATCCCTCATGCAAAGAATATTCTACTGGCGTGTAATTTAAACATCAATATTATTAAACATGATGTTAAATTGATCTTAAACTTCAACATCATTTTCTCACCCATGCCGTGGAACTGAATGGCAAACGAACTTCCTTACCTGTGCCCCCTGCAGAGTGCAAAGGCCTGGACCAGGCTCTGTCCTAAGCCTGTATTACTTCCATTAATGTTCACATCCCCCCACCACAGACTAGAGTACATCTGCAGCCACAAGTGTCACCTACAGCTATCCACAAACTGAATCTGAATTAGAGGTGCTCAAAAATATTAAGCATTCATGAAAAAAAATTGCAATGTGTTTGTAAACGTAAGATATGAGGACTTTGTAAGGAAGCAAAATAGAACACATTTGATTTGTGTCCTTTACAAAACTAGTCTTTTCGTAACTTTCAGCTAAAGCCATTAGTGAAAACTTTAGCTCTTAATCACCACAGAAGGTGCGCAAGTTATTCCTGAAGCAAAGACACTGACCTTTGCAATGTTTCTCTTTCAGGGAAATGGACAGGCTCTTTGCACTGCCCAAATACCTTTGCTGAAGCCTCAGAACCACATAGACACAGTGCTGACAATACAAATATTTTTTTATTTAGTGAATATCATAAATAATCCATAATCCATGATTTTTGATGTTATAACTATTCTTCTTTTTTTTTTTTTTCTTTTAAGACAGGGTCTCACTCAGGCTGCAAGGCAGTGCAACAATCAGCTCATCGCAGCCTCAACTTCCTGGGCTCAAGAAATTCCCCCTGCCCCAGCCTCCCAAGTAGCTGGGATTACAGGTGTGAGCCACCATGCCTGGTAACTTTTTATTATTATTATTATTTGACGGATGGGGTCTCGCTATGTTGCCCAGACTTGTCTTGAAATCCTGGCCTCAAGTGATCCTCCTGCTTCAGCCTCCCAAAGCACTGAGATTACATGGCATGAGCCACCATGCTCAGCCAACTATTCTTAGAACCTCTCACTGAATAGAAGACTTTCTATATACTAAAAATCATTTTTCCAACATTATTCTTGGCTCCTTGAAGTAGGCACAATAAATGTTTATTATTATTCAAATAGCATGTAATAAACATCTATTGCGTTTCTGTAGAAGCTGGGCTGAGGATCTGCAGTTTTAGGAACAAGAAAGAAAGAACGTTGAGGGAAGCAAATTATCTGATCTGTCAGTCCCTTGGGAGAAGAAGCGGCATCATACTCATCACGTTTCCACCATTCTCTTCAAAGTGTCTCAACACAGATCATCGTTAAATGTTTACTGAAGGCATGAGTCACTATTTATGGACATATACTCTATACAGAAAAGACTCAAAATGCTGAAACAGTCAGCTCTAATGGTGATTCCATCTAGAAT